TCCTCCCATTACTTCACCTACAAAATTATATTTTTTCTATCACCGTTGCTGCTTGCATAGCTTCAATTATCCATACTACATTTGATTTACAGTTTACTTAACCAGCTTCTAGTCCACCACCTTTGCAGGCAGATAGGAACTTGATAATAATAGCCTGCTTACATACATAAGCAATGCCAGACTAGCAGCCATCATTTTCTGCAGCCACACACACTATTTTTGCACCTTCTTGAAGTGCAAAGATAAACATTCATTAATATGATGCAAAGCGATAGTAAGTTTATAGCATTTTATTTTTTTAAGTGTATTTATTACAGAGAGAGGACCAGAGAGAGAGAGAGGGAGAGAGAGAATCCTAAGCAGGCTCCATGCTGTCAACACAGAGCCCCACGTGGGGTTCAGGGTCATGAACCATGAGATCATGACCTGAGCTGAAAAGGGGAGTCAGACACTTAACCGACTGAGCCACCCAGGTGCCCGGAAACCCTGTTTTAAGCTGATACTTTATAAAACATAATTACTATTGACATAAAAGTTTATCAGAATTATGATTCAGTTTTGTTAAACATAATTTTTTATGTTTTTGAGACTTTATGTAAGGATACTATACATGGTGCATGGTGTATCCATATGAATATTAGGAGCTTCAGATTAACTAGCCTCTTTATTTGGAAAATACAAACCCATACCCTTACGAGATCATGGAGAAAACATAGATATGTATTTAAACCAAAATTATTAAATTAGTCTTATTTATATAAAGATTCACCTTTATTACGCGAAGTAGGTTCCCTATAAAAATATTTCTGAACTTCTAGAAGAATCTCTAAGAAGGATTTTTTTTTCTTAAATGTCTAGCACACTTGAAGTTTTCGTTAGATGCTAGAATAGAAGATTTATAAAAGTGCTTACTATTCTATATGAACCAGATTATCATTCCTTTCACTTCCAAGACTTTATAATTTAATTTATTAATACCCTTCTATGTTAGGAACTTATTGCACACACACACACAGTGAGAGATTACAGCTTTTCTCAATTACAGCAACACAAGAGAATTGGTAGCTTCAGTTCTGCAACCTCAGAAACAGGTTTAAGGAATCAAGGAAGCATAAAAACTCACCAGTCAGGATTTCAAAAGGCTATTCCTTTCTAGTTTTTATGGAATTTTATATGAAATAGTTTAAGCCCACAAATAGTCCAAAAAGAAATTAAAGGAGAGCAACTCAAAGTCTTTATCGTCTCACACGAGAGTAATAGATCCCCAGAATCCCAATAGCTGTCTCAAAAGGTCTGTTTATAAAATTACACTCCTACTCGTTACTGCTACCAGTGGGGAATTATTTATTCTTGTTGCTGTCTAGTGCAAAGTAGATCCAGAACCAAAATGGCCAAAACCAGAAAAAAATCCAAAAGTCCCAAGTTAGAAAAAATCCATGCTAACAAACATAGCGCACTATTGGTGCTTTAGAACCACTCTGGAGACCAAGCAAGTGCGTGCCTGGGCTTGCCCAGCCCATGAAGTGCATGTCTGTGGTGACAGTTGAATTGGCTTTGTCAACCCACACTGGCATCTTGGAGGAACCTCCAAAGCTAGTATAGGTTAATATTGAGAGAGTTAAGAAATGACTTTCGTATGTATAAAATAAACATGTATTAGACTTTACTTAACTCACTCATTAATGAGAGAACCAGTGAGATGGTTAGTGTGATTCAAAGGACATTTTAGAAGTACATAGTTCAAGGCAAGTTAATAAAGTAATATTAGAACATTAGTAAAGTAACATTGCTACGTTAGACATAAAACTAGTTAACATTCTACAGAGAAACCGTGGCCTATGGGATTATCTTTTTAACAGAAGAAAAGTATCTGAATTTATTCAGGACAAAAATCTACAAATTAACATGCAACTTTAAGTATATCCAGGATGTAAATAATGGATCAATTAAAATACATTCCCCCCCCAAATTATCATTGGTTGGAACTGTTAAATAATGCACCTACATCACATAGAAAAGATAGGTTGCTCTCCTTTTTACTCTTATTTTCAAGCTTTAAATAACTTAACACATGGCAGCAACATATGATACACCCAACACTTGCCCAGAGTAATTATAGTAGACAAGTTTTATTGATGGGAAGAGTCAATATGATAAAGATGTTAGTTTTCCCCTAAGTAATCTAAAAATCAGTATGATTTTATTAAAGCTTCAACAAGTGTTTTTATAGAACTTGGCAAGTAAGTCTAAAACTAATTATGAAGAGAAAAAGCTCAAGAATAGCTCAGAAAAATTTGAGGACAATGAATAAGTAGATAGAATTGTCCTATGCAGTGTCAAAACTAATTACGAAGTGATGGAGGATGCGGAGACAGACAGACAGACAAGTAGAAACTAATAGAAAACCCAAAACATGCTGATACACATTTGAAACCCTGACAGACATAGCACTACAGTCAATGGAGAAAAAGGGAGCTCTTACTAAATGTTGTTAAGCCAGTTGTTTATAACACTTGGAAAAAATAAAAATAGGTTGCTAACACATATTATAATAAAAAATAATTTCCAGGGGCCCTGGGTGGCTCCATTGGGTAAGTGTCTGACTTTGGATTTTAGCTCAGGTCATGATCTCACAGTTTGTGGGTCAAGCTTCACACTGATAAGACAGAGCCTGCTTAGGACTCTCTCTCTCTCCCTCCCTCTGTCCTTCCCATGCTCTCTTTCTCTCTCTCTCCCTCAAAAATAAATTTTAAAAAACCTTAAAAAATACCTGGGTAGATAACTAAATGCAGAAAAGCAAAATGTTGAACCTTTTATAAGAAAGTATAGAATGTTTTTATAACTTTGAGGCAGAAGGGGATTCCTGAAACAAGATACAGAAATACCTGATACAAAGCTGAAATTACAAATGTGATTATAGTTTCAAAAACTGTTTTCCTCAAAATCATCATTTTTTTCAAAGAAACGTGAAAGGACAAGCTGCAGATTGGGCCAAAGGTATTTGCAACAGATTTCACTGAGAAAGTGTTAGTACATAGGGTGTATAAGGACATTTGCAATAAATCAGTAAGGAACAAGATGCTCAACCCAAAAACATCAACAAAAATAGGTAAAAAAAAAAAACATGATCCAACACTTTGCAGAAGTGGACACATGACTCAAAGATATAAAAGAAAAAAAAAATTCAACCACACTAGTAGTCAAGGAAATGGAATTAAAATCACAATGTGATTTTACACTTAAATGATCATCGATAGTAAAAAAAATTTTTTTTAATGTTTATTTATTTTTGAGAGAGAGACAGAGACAGAGTGAGAGTGAGGGAGTGGCAGAGGGACTGAGATACACAGAATCCGAAGCAGGCTCCAGGCTCTGAGCTGTCAGCACAGAGCCCGACGCGTGGCTTGAACTCACGAACTGCGAGATCATGACCTGAGCCGGTCAGATGCTCAACCGACTGAGCCACACAAGCGTCCCAAGATCACCAATATTTACAAGGTTCCAAATACACCAAGTATTGGTGAGAGTGTGGAAAGTCAGAACCTTTCATACGTGTTATTGAGAATATGAATTGGCATAGCATTTTGAACTAAAATTTGTCAGTTTATTTAAGTTGAAAAAGCGTATGTTCCTTGATTCAGGAGCTCTATTTCTAGCTATATATCATGGAGAAATCCAACACATGTGCATAAGGTGACAAGTATTCATAATGGCTAAAATGGAAAACAATACAACTGTCCATCTGCAAAATAGTGGGTGAATATATTGCGGTATATTCATAAAAGGAAAAACTACATGGTTGTTAAAATGAACTAGTAGAGAGGCGCCTGGTTCGTTCAGTCAGTTAAGTGTCTGACTCTCGATTTCAGCTCAGGTCGTGATATCACAGTTTCATGAGTTTGAGCCCCGGGTCAGGCTTTGTGCACTGACTTCATGGAGTATACTTGGGATTCTCTCTCTTCCTCTCTCTCCTCTCTCTCTTTCTCTCTCTCTCTCAAAATACAAAAGAAATTAAGAAAAATGTTAAATGAACTAATAAAGTGGTTTTATAACCACGGATAAATCTCATATATAACACTGGGTGAAGCATATTGTGCATATTATGTATACGTGCTATTTCTACTTCAAAACATCAATAGGGAGACTAAGCATCAAATTAGTATGATGGTTACCTCTACAGAAGTGATGAATGGACTAGAATTAGAGGCACATAGTAAAGAGGTTTCAGCTTTTCCGTAATACATTTCTTTAGGAAAAAATGACTCAAGTATTGCACAGTGCTGAGATTTGATAAAGTTGGGTGTGTGGTACATGGGTGTTTATTAGCTGACTTTCTCTGCACTTCTCCATGATTGAGATACTTGAAAATACTTCAGAAAATAAAAAAAGATATACTTCACTTTGAGGAATAAAAAAAATGGTGTATATATAACACATGTATATAAATTTGAAAGCATTATACACTAAGTTAAACACTAATCCTGTATGTTCCTCCTAAACATCAATAAATATATGCATGTATATACATCTATATAAATACATGCATGTATATACAGTTATGAGAACTAGATATTTCAAGCATACAACTTGAATAGGAAGGTTTCCCTGCAATTCCTTGAGGAGGAAAGATGGAAGGCCGGAGTAGGTATGACGATGCCCACAGTGTGTTTCAGCTGGATATGTTACGTTTTTATGCAATTTATTAAGGACCAAAAAAATGATGTAAGTATGTTATACATTACTAGTTATGAATTCTTTGTGATAAGATTATGAGTATTGAGTAAACTGAATCTATCCATGTAGTATTGCTTCTGGTTTTTTCAAAACATTTTTTTAAAACCTTAAGTATTTGACTAAGATTTGGAACCTGTATATAAAAAAAAAATTGGGGATCAATAAGAGTATCTTAAATATCAAGTATTTTGTCAACTCATGTATTGAAAATGGTAATATACTATCAGAAAAGTTAATTGTGGGTGATTTTTCCCCTCTTCCCAAAGAATACAAGTCAATGACCAGATTGTGGAAGTGGATGGAATCAGCTTGGTGGGTGTCACACAGAATTTTGCTGCAACGGTTCTCAGAAACACCAAGGGCAATGTCAGGTAAATATGTGGTTTCAGATATGTATACTTTCATTACTTAATATTTTGTTAAATTTCAGTCTTCTAGAATTGTACCTATAGATGTATAGAATTACAATGAGAATTTTCTCTAAATACTTAAAACTTACCTTTAGCTTTTAATGTTTCCTCTTATTGTAATTTGTTTATGCAAATATAATTTAAAACCAAAAATTATGGTACTTTAGAAAGACGTGAAGATAGGAAGTATACAGTGTGAATCAATATGGTTAATTACTGAGCTACGTTAGTGTTCGTAACTAGATAGAATTTCTACTTACATCCTCAGCAAATATGAATTTAGACTTTAAATCCTTTTTGTAAAACCAGTTATGCAGTAAACTGAAATTGAAATGATTATACATATATCTAGAGGTACATGGTTCTTAAGAAAAACTGGCTGAATTATGTAAGGTTAATAAACGCATTAAAAATATTCTTCATAGACTTTATAGCACTAATCTTTGGTGAACTGTAACTTTGCCAATTTAATAGGACAGAGGGTACATTCTTTTGGACCTTGAAATTTGTATCCAGTCCTGAGGTTTTGAAAATTGTAGCTTGGAAAACAAATAAGATACTGGTCCTGAGCCAGCTAAGGTCAGCGTAAGAAATCCATTTTATTTGGACATAGGGCATTTATGTATATATATATATATATATATATATATATATATATATATGTACATATTTTTTAAAGTTTATTTATTTTGAGAGAGAAAGAGAGTGAGCAAGCGAGCCAAGGAGGGGCAGAGAGAGAGAGGGAGAGAGAATCCCAAGCAGGCTCTGCGCTGTTAGCACAGAGCCCAGCATGGGGCTCGAACCCATGAACTGTGAGATCATGACCTGAGCTAAAACCAAGAGTTGGACCCCATAGGGTATTTGTTTTTAAATGTAGTGTTTCTTATAAGTACTTTTCCATCAATCCTATGAAGGAACATATAAGAGACATTTCTTAGTATGGGTAAGTATCCAAATGTTTTAGTGTTATCAGCAGATAGAACTGCCAGATATTTTGAAAATACCAGTGAGTTAATATTGCTCTAAAGAGGGAAACATGAGGATTTTATTGCAACAGTCTTTAGGTTGCACAAACACGGGTTTAAGCTTTAGAATATAGACTGTTTTATTTGGAAAATATCCTTTAATTCTGAAGGAAGTGTTTAAGAAACACATCAGTGACTTTTATGGGTGCTGTGTTGATGCTCCAAGAATACCCATGGTCCTGAGAAAAGGATGCGAAACACTTGGAAAGAGCATAGATGAAAAACTGACGCTCCCTCAGGACATGTGATTGTCTTTCTGCAGATAGTTGTCTGTTCCTGAGACAGCACTTTCCTATGTCAGTATAGAACTTGGTTTGAAAGCTGCCCCAGTTAGGCTTTGAAGTAAATTTTAAAGTGAGTGAGATATACATTAAACTTAGAAGACTATTTTCCTTTTTTCCTTTTTTTTTTATAAGAACATTTTTCAGTTGCAAAGAAGCTCATAGTCATATGAAATCCTAGCCATCCCTGTCCTTCAAGCCTTGTCCAAATTGCAGATGACTTCTTAACTCTCCCGTGATTGCAGTCTTCCCTTCTTCAATCTGTCCCTCTCATCCTTCCTCTTCGTGGAAGAAAATAATAGCAGTTTTCAAATCTAGGAAGGTCTATCTAACATGGAAAAAGGAATCGACTCATTCTGTTTAACTCTGGCACTGGAAGATGTAACACCTGTGGGTTGAAATAATAATTCTGCATCCATTATGTGCCTCCCTTCTTCAGAAACCTTCAATGGCCGTCCAATCTGTACAGAATATCTAAGCTCTTTATCTAGATATTAAAATCTTTCCTTACCCAGTCTTGCCACGTACCTCTCTCTCTATTCATGCTTTGGTACAGTCGGGCTGGTGTCGTCATATTCCTTGAAATGTGCCTTGTGAGTTATTGTTTTATTATAGTAACTTTCTCTCTGCCATTTTTTTCTGTTTAAAACGCTGTCTTCTGTTTAGAACCTACTTACATGAAGAACATATTTCAGCTCCTTTGCCCTCAAGAAGTCCTCCTTGATCTCTGTTTTGCCTAGTGATCTCTTTCTGGCAACACTCATCATTCATACTCCTTTTTTGACTTTGAGGTGACAGCACATTCTACTTTCATATTTTGAAGGCACACATTTTATTTCCTCATTCACTTTGCACAAATCTTGATACTGAAATGGGACCTTTGGCTCTCTTTGTTTCCCCAAATTATTTAACTCAGAGCCTTAGTTAATTGAATATAAAGAAAAAGTCTTTTCTCAGTTTGAATTTATTAAAGATAATATTTGAATTTTCTGAATATGTTTTAGATGGTAATTATTCATCAAGTATTAATACAAAAATAGGGTCCAAAAACTAGATCTGTATTTTCATGAGCTTTTTAAAACTGAGAATTTCAAATATGTATGGTTTTGTATTTCTTAAGAATTGATGATGTTGCTATCTTATTTAGTGGTTACTAAAATTTATCTTCAATAAAAGGTATCTACAAAATTAGTCAATTTAGCTTGAGTTTTTCCTAACTACTAGACACAGATCTGGGAGGAATATGTGAAAGCCGTGGGTCCTAAGATCCAAGTAGAAGAAAGATGGGAAGCCAGAGGTGATGAGAAAACAAAACTGAGATTTGAATGCTGATTATTTCTTAAGTATTGGAGGTCAAGATTTTTACTTATTTCCTTGAGATGTGTATGAAATTGGTGTCAGCATTTGGATATGACTCAGAACCACGCAGTGAAGTTCTGTGACTTCATCCACACTTAGAGAGAGAATCATTTTCTATCTGACCTCAGTCTACTTTATTCTATTAAAGTAAAAATTACAATACCTGAGTTTATGAACTAATACTACTAACAAAGACCCCATTAATATGACATTATCAACTCTCTAGAGAAATTTACAAGTAGAGTTGAAAAACGTATATTAGCCTTGAGAGTTATAACATTGCAAACTTTTAAGGATAATAGATGTTTTTCAACTCTACATCATTTATATGAGTTAAAGCAAGTTAAAGCATATATTAGGCCATGGTTAACAAGTGGTTCCAGTAAATGATTATTATTTCCTTCATTTTACTGATATCACCTAAAACCAAACACTCACTGTAAGTATTGTGTTGATATCATGTAAGTATGTAATTGATTAGGAAAGGGGGACCCACAGGATTCAAATAGTTTATACTCAGAAGGGATGTAATGCAGGAATAGCAGGAGAAAGATGGATGTTAACTAGGTGGGCATGGAGGACTCAGACTCATCCTTCTACTGGGCCTCACAGGACTTGCTGGTCTCTAGATTCTAAACCACCACAGACATGTGCATGAATCATCTTGGTATTAAGAAGTGCAAAGTCTACGTATGCTAGTGATTTCTCACTGATCATCGACAACCCCTAGATTCTACCAAATCCAGGTAGATGTTATAAATCCGATTATTATTACCAAACAGTTTTGACAAGCTAGTCTGTCTTGCCTTGAAACTATTCATGGACCCATATTTGCAAAGCATAATTTGTCCCTGGATAGTACATTTCCCAGCTCTGACCAAGGTTCGTACCATGCTCTAAGCGGTTCTGAAGATCAGTACTTCATCAATTCAGGTGGTCTCATGCTGTATAATACATATTACATAACACATTTACTGCTCTCCTTTTGACTTTAGAGTCCTACTATTTAGTATGTTTCTATTTTATGTTTCTTCTTTTAAATTTTTTTAAATTTGAGCATATTTATTATATATTTCAATTTTACCTGTTGAAAACTTAAAAAGAAAATGTTGTAAGTTATTTAAAAACCTATCATCTTTTTGGTGGTTGATAGAATGTAACTTGCCAAATGTAGAATAGTTAAAAAGTTAGAATAAAGTTCTATTCTTATTATCAGATCCTGCATTATGTGAAAAATAATTTAAATAGTAGATATTCAGATCATTTGAATCAGCAAGTTTATCCACTTATTTGCAATTCATTTTTATATCTGAACTTACTAAATGATGCTTTTCTTGGAGATCCTTAAAAGAGCCTTATGTCTGTTGGTCCATGTAAAGTTATAGGAAAAATACTTCTAAATTTGATATTATAAAGTCATTAGAAAAAATAATAATGAGTTTGAAAGACATAAAATACTGGTTGTATACTCATGGAAAAAAAGTAGGAATCTATAGATATTAGGAGACTAATTCAAAGTTATACAAACTACCTTCCATTTATTTTTGGATACTTTTTATATTTGGGGATATATATACATATATATATTTGGATATTTGGATAGTTTTGATATTTTGATATTTTTGACATGTATGTATGTAGATGCATGTTGTACATGAGTGTGTGTGTTGTTATTTTGGATATGAATGTTGTTTTGCCACAGATGTCCCAAATGTGAACACTTGACTCAATCTCTTTATGTTACATCCCTGTGGACAAGAAGAAAAATGTATTTGAATTATTGGAATTATTATTGAAAGCTAGAGGATAGGTAAAACCATGCAGCTAATTCTGTTACAAACTCTAAGTATTATTGAATGTATTCAATGATATTTCTCTATGTACTTAGAATGATTGTCTTTCTCTAATAACTGCCTTTTTTCACATGAAGGCAAACTTCATGGATTCAGATTCTGGCTTAACTACTTAGATATGAGTTTATGAAAGTGTTTAAATCTCCCTGTGCTGTAGTTTCTTCAGCTATAAAATGGGTATCATGATACTACCAACCCCATATTGGTGATGCATATTCAATGAGTTAATACATGTAATGAATGCCTACAAAAACTTGAGATTCAGCAAAACATTAGTGATTATTATTTTCTTCTGAAACTCTGATCCCTTCTTAGATGTTCATGTAGATTGCTGGAAAACTGAGAGTCAATTTTATAGCCGTTTCTAACAAAGAAAGGCACAGGGCCTTACGGTCTGCAGAGACCATTGTTACCAGTTTCTCTTTAATTCTTTGGAAGTACCA